ACCAGTTAATACTTCAAATTTACACACCACCTGCTAAACCCAACGATGATGAAATTGAAGAATTCTACCAACTTCTTCAGTCTAAACTTGATCAAACTTGCACTCGAGATGTATTGATAATTACTGGTGATTGAAATGCAAAAGCTGGAAATAAAGAAGGAGGATCAGGAGCTGAAAAACATGGTCTTGGTGATAGAAACGATGCTGGAGATCACATGATAGAATTTTGCAAGACCGAGGACATACTTTTTTTTTCTTTTTTAAGGACTTATTTATTGCAAATACCTTTTTCAACAACATAAGCGGTGACTATACACATGAACCTCACCAGATGGAATACACAGAAATCAAATTGTCTACATCTGTGGAAAGAGATGGTGGAAAAACTCCATATTAGCAGCCAAAACAAGGCCAGGGGCTCCTCTTTCCTGCTCAGCGCCACCATGGCTTGTGGTCCCAAGAAACATCTTAAGCATGTGGCTGCCCCAAAGCATTGGATGCTGGACAAACTGACTGGTGTGTTTGCTCCACGCCCATCCACTGGCCCCCACAAACTGAGAGAATGCCTCCCACTGACCATTTTCTTAAGAAACAGACTTAAGTATGCCCTGACAGGAGAAGAAGTTAAAAAGATCTGTATGCAACAGTTCATTAAGATTAATGGCAAAGTCTGAACTGATATTACATATCCTGCTGGTTTTATGGATGTTATCAGCATTGAGGAAACCAGAGAACATTTCCATCTGGTCTATGACACCAAGGGTCGATTTGCTGTTCATCGTATTACACCTGAGGAGGCGAAGTACAAGTTGTTTAAAGTAAGAAAGATCTTTGTGGGCACAAAAGGAATCCCCCATCTGGTGACCCATGATGCTCGTACCATATGGTACCCTGATCCCCTCATCAAGGTGAATGATACCATTCAGATTGATTTGGAGACCGGAGGGATGACTGATTTCATCAAGTTTGACACTGGTAACCTGTGTATGGTGACTGGAGGTGCCAACTTGGGAAGA